CATCGCTGACTGAGATGGCCATAAGGAGTGTCTGTGCTAGCACACCTCGTAATGTGAATACCGCACAGCATCGCTGACTGAGATGGCCATAAGGAGTGTCTGTGCTAGCACACCTCGTAATGTGAATACCGCACAGCATCGCTAACTGAGATGGCTAGTATGACGTCCAATTTCTGTCAAGATTTGGAAAAGAAACAAAATAAGTAAATGACTGGCCAAGTGTACAGCCAAAAATTTGCTTTTCATAGTAATCTATGCGATAGCTATCTAGCCAGCTAGCCAACATCTTATTATTATTGTTGTATTTTAATAACCCTTATGCCAGAAGTTCCTTTTTTCACAACACCCACCTTGGTCTCCGCAGAGACACAGGTGAGAGTGAAGTCTGGTCGCAGGGTTGGTTAGTGTTTAGGATCCCTGGAGTAGTTATGTTTAAGGGTCTTACTCAAGGGCCTAATGCTGGTGTAGCTGATATGCTGGGAGCAGGAATCGGACCAGCAATGTTTTGCACACAGGAGTCTTAACCCCCATTGTGCGCATTTAAGGCATGAAATGATAACAGCACTTGTGCTTCATCAAAGCAATCTGTCAATGTTGTGGAGAGCCCAATGGCCGCAGATATCACACATAGTAGATCTGCCGCTGATCATTGTATGTGCACATTATCTGTGGATACACTGTGCTTACTTTTAAAATTATAATGGTGGACTGTCACACAACACTGTGTATAACAGAAAAATGTGGGCAGTGCCCAGTGATCAGTGCTCAGTGATCAGTGCCCCGTGATCAGTGCCCTGTGATCACTGCCCTCTAGGATAGGCTGCTGGGTCACTGTGGCCCTATTTCAAATAAACAGTTATAGAAAATGGGTGGATTATCTGGTCACCAAACAACACAAGACCTATTACAGATAATACTCATCCAGTTGTGTCCTGCTTAACACTCCGTTTGCTATTTTTTGCAGTGAATTCGCATTCATCCAGTCTAAGGCCTGTAGCCAGAAATAAATTCCAGTAGTGTGTGTGTGGTGGGGGGGGGAATCATAGTTTTACTACCTGGCTACATGCCTGATCGGTCCAAACCTCCTATTTTCCTACGTGACTATGTGCCTGATCCATTCTGCAGATGTATTTGAGTGTGCAATTTAATAGTAAACATCACTGTTATACATGTGTGCAATGCACACAGGATGTTAATGTGTCACCAGAAATGCTTACACTGTAACCTTTGCCCAAAAGATTCTCAAAATGCTGCTGACAGCAGAAGGGACCCAGAAGACACATCCTTCAGGTGAGGTATCTCCATGTGGCAAATCTTACAGCATCTTTATTTCCAATTAGGATGTAGGTTTGAAGTTATCCTTTGGAAAAAAAAGCAAGTGTGAATTTCTGTGAAATTCTGGCAGGAGTTTGCTAAGGAGTAAATTGCATCACCATGCAAGCTGAAGACGGTTCCCAAGCAGCTGTCAGTAATGCCGCCCAGGAACAGGGAACGACCAAGGGCCGCCCCCCCAACAAAAAAGGTGAGAAACTGTGTGGTTGGGCCTCATACGACATCTGCGTGTGCCTGCCGAGGTCTGCATGCGTTTCCTGGCAATAACAAGCTGCGAGTGGAGGTTTCCCTAAAAACGTGTGTGACATGGTGTGTGATCGTGCGTGTGAGAGTTAGCCCAGTGACAGAGAGGCCCTGGCACACTGAGCTACCTGGCAACCTGACCCTGTAAGTGGTTCTGGCAGATGGATGGACAGGAATCGATAATTTCGATATTGGTCAAGAAAGTGAGGCACAAAATGAGGATTTTAAATAGGCCTAATGATATTTAGCTGTGTTTCGAGCAAAAAGATGCCTGGTAGCTCTGCTTTTTTCACACAAATCTAAAGTGAACGATGGATTCCGAATTAAAACTGACTAAAGGTTTTTGCCATATAAATCATCTGTAAAAACTTAAGTGTTTTCTGCGTATATAACACCTTGTTTGAAACAGACACCAAAAGTGTTCTGCTGTTTCCTTGAACAAAAAGTGCTTAAAAAGCAGGTTAGATATTAACCGACAGGAGCAGAGTTCTCTTTTACTGCACGTATTAAATGAGTTAGATTTTCATACCCTTTTAGTTTATATTTACATTTATTGACCTGCCACATGCTTTTTCTGGAAGCAGGCTGGTGCTTATGTAGAGAACAATGAATGATGTTGTTCTTGTGTATATTGTAAATATTAAATTGAAGTAGATATGCAAACCTAAAATTATTTCACTTCTGTTCCTGAGATAAAAAGGAAATAAACATGTAATCAAAAAAATACTTAGAATCGCAGAACACACAGCAGAGGGGTGACTGCATGTACCTGCACCGTTGGTCATGAGGTCTCAGCACATTTGCTGATGCCGTCCTCAGCTACATATCAGGAACTGGGCTTTTCCGTACCCCAGCGGAATTTAACTGTTCTTTTTATTTACTAATGGGAATACTTCAGTTATATCAGGTGATACACATGGTATTAATTAGTTAATTGGTAAGTGTTATACTGGACAATATTGGAAGGGTGTCACCGAATGAGACTGCAGATAGGACTTTGTAAGGTTGTGTGTTTAGTTCTGTGTTTGCATGGATCTCATGGATTGCATGGATTCAGTAGAGACACTGATGGGATCTCTGGTATCGCCCCACTGTCCACTCTGATGTGTCCGCTTCGGGGGTATGACCTCCCCCCCAAGGGGCTGGGAACCCTGTCACATGCTTCTTATGCTTAGGGACAGTGAATGCAGGGTGTTTCTCTATGACAGCCCACTGTGTCAGTGACAGTGGACACTCGTGTGACAGAAAGCTTTGCCCCGAGACAGTTCTCGCTGAAGCACACATGGAAGTGCCAACAACCAGAGTGCTACTGCACACACCCTCCAGTCCACCATGTCCCATGGACCAGATAACCCAAATACTGAATTTATCACACAGAAACAGTACCAGGCATGATAATTCTTCTCTCTTTACAGATCACTGACTCATACCTCAAATCAAACACCTGAATGTCCAAGAGCATCTAAATCCTCTTATTTGCCAAAGTCCTTTCACTAGGCACTGGTGTGCTCTGCCGTTTACAGCCTCCGTCAGTGAGAAGAGCCCAGACTACCTGGCACAGCGTTTCCAGGGAGATGGGGTACGCTACAAGGCCAAACTCATCGGTGTGGACGACGTGGCTGAAGCCCAGGGTGACAAAATGTGCCTGGATTCCATGATGAAGCTGAAGGTAGAGCCCCGCCGTCCAGCTAGGAGCTGTGCAGGTCATCTTAGAACTTCCTGAGGAGACACAGACCCTACATTCAGTAGAGACACTGAACACAAGCAAGGTGTGAAGGGCTGTGTGGGTGGTCTCCGTTAAAGACTGTAGCTGGATCATAATAGTGGTCCTGGAAAGTTTGGGAGATAAGAAGTTGCTTGATCTCACCATCGTTTGTTAGTCTTCTAATAATAATAATAATAATAATAATAATTTAACTGTATTGAATCTCACAGCTACATGCAAAGCTAACGGCAGTTACTGTATGTGGAGCCAAAGCACATTAGCAGCAGACCTGAGGTCTGGCCTGAAGTATATGACACCCCCCAGTGGTTGGTTTGGCCATAAAAGCTTCTCTGGGTTCTAAATGAGGGTTACAGTATGAAATAACTTTGCCCAAAGTCCACTCATTCCATTAGAAGACTGTGTAGGAGAACGTCACCGTCTATAGCAATCATATACATCCCATAGTACAGCATTTTGCAGGAATGTTCTTAGCACCATGAAACAGCTGATTCCAAGGGTCTCCACAGAGACACTTTATGTGGCATCAGGGTCTGTATGCTACTTCAGGCATTGCCGTCGACATGATCTAAGCGTGACTCTGCTGTCCAAAGGGCCAGGAGATAGCAGCGCGCCAGCGAGGACTTCACAAGCAAAGGGTGTGGCTGAAAGTCTCCGACACCTGCGTCCGAATCATCGATGAGAAGACCGGGGTGAGCGCTGGGCCAGGCAGCAGGGAGATAAGCTGCTTCTGCAGTTCAGTGTATAGATAAAGTCGTTTCCAAATTAGTGTGTCTTAATATTTACATACATAACAAAATGTTTTGATATCAAGTAATTAGGTTAGTTTGGATATATTTAATGCAGACAGTGTGAAAACATGTTTGCCCTTTGCATAGTTAACCAAGCAGACTTTTGTTCATGTCCTCTGTCTCCTGTACTGCTTCTTACCTGGGAGTCATACTTCCTGAAATCCTGGAATGTTGAGATTTAGGGTGTTCTGTGTGAGGGACAATGTGAAATAGAGCATGACACTCAACACCTGACACAAAGAGAACTTCTTTTGTACTGCCACAATGTACACATGTAAAAGCAGAATTTAAAAAGAATGCAAAATTTCCATAACTGATCCTATTTCTAAAAAGTGTTATTCGAGCAACTCATTGGCTTCCTGCAAACTACTAGTAACTCGTGAGCATCGCGTGAATGACGACTGTATCAGGCGTCATATTTGCATAACACTTTTGAATTAATTATTTGCAACGGAAGACATGCAGTCACTGATAGAGGGAGCCCTAAGTTCACATCGCAGAGTCTACAAACTGGTGCGAAGGCTGTTTACTGCCCTATTTACAGTGTAGAGCACTGTAATGCTGTCAAGTTACCCTGATTTAGCCAGACTTTGGAGGTTAAAGAATGAATGAAGGAGAAGCTCACAGCTGTGCTATGCATCTCAGGCAGTGGAGCACAAGCACGAGCTGGAGAGGATCAGCTCTGTGAAAAAGGACGACTCCCAGCCCAGAGCCTTCTCCTACGTCTATGCACACGAGGGAACCTTCAAGTTGTTCTTCATCAAGATGGCCAATTTAGTGAGTAGCTGGATCTGGGCAGCATGCCGCTCCACTGAATTCTCCTCCTATCACAGCTGCGTCCAGAGCCGTGAGCAAAATAGATCACAATCATCTGCGGGGTTCATGTTTGAGGCTCGTTTAAAACGTCACTAGAAGGCATGTAGGAGACATGTGACACATGGGCAGGCCCGGCAGAGCCACCTCCGAGTGGGGGGGGGGCACGCCATTGAGGCAGAGCCACCTCCGAATGAGATGAGGGGGGGGCACGCCATTGAGGCAGAGCCACCTCCGAATGAGATGAGGGGGGGCCACGCCATTGAGGCAGAGCCACCTCCGAATGAGGTGAGGGGGTCACGCCATTGAAGAACACAAAGCCTGTTAAAAGTTACACAAAGGGGACGAGTTATCAGTTTGAGACACCAGGCATTTAAAGCAGCTCTTCAGGATTAATGTCTTTCTTTGTTCCACCTGTATGTGCAAAGACAATTACTGATTTAATAATTCTGTATTATTAATAATATCAATACTGTTTCGCAAGCTAGAGCTGAAGGAATCTCTACCTTGTGTATCGTCACACGTCTTCAACGAAACCACACATCACTTTTTTTTTTTCCTTTATTCTACGCACCTTCCGGCCCTGTAACACGATTCACCAACTGGCTGATGGCTTAAGACAAGTCATGTATGCTGGATTTCGTGAAGTAACTCTTTGTTTTTTAAAATGAGTCTCGGTCTTCTAAAATCATGTCTTAATATGTGAGTCATTGGACGGTTAGGTTTTTTTTTTATGTGATTCATTACTCGGTTCACATCAGTACTGCCTCTCCTCACAGGCTGATCCAGTTATAGAAGATATAAAAGATGCCTTCCAGATAGCATCTGCTGAAAGATCAGAGACGTTGTCCACACAAGTAAGAAGCCATGTGACTCCATAACCGTGTTCTTAAACCTGTTCTTGTTTACTTTCCAGTGCGGTCTGTCTTTCATTGCATGGGTTACATTTTCCATGAAAAGTATAGTTACTATACGAAGATGATGTTGGTCAGGCATGTTTTTGAATCTCTTAATCATTCTCAGCAGAATGGTCCCTGCCTTCTTCTAGATGAGCATGTGGCTATTCCACCGAAGGTGAGCTCTCATTTCACTTTGCCGTTCTGTCCACAGACGCATTTTCGTAACATGACCTTTCTTTGTGATCCAATGTGTTGTGGGGGTGTGTAAATTTAGCAAATGTCTTGCTCCTTTTAAGCTGCAGAGGGGGGGGCTCTTGAGTCTCACTTTTGAAAGTCTGTGAGCCGCTGAGGCTTCTGCACGACTGAGACCGTGCACCGTGAGCAGGGATGTAGATGCAATCAGACAAGATGTACATTTTTGGAGTCACATGGTCTGGTGCCCGTGTGTAACGAAAACTCGTAATTAGTGTCACAACACACTACTTTTTTTGAAGAAAAGTTGACATGCATTTTATATTTTCTAATTTATAAGGGCCTTGACGTCATAGATCTCTTCAATCCTCTGCCTTCTTCTCCAGCTCAGCTTTCTGCCTTGGTAGGTCCAAGCCATGTACGAACTTCCTTAGCCCTGATCTGCCAGCTGTAAAACATATCTTAAGACTGAAGCCCTGTCCATGTGGTTTTCTTCCATTCTTTTTGAGCGGAACTTGCTGTAAAATTCCCATCTTAATATCCCTGGAATGTATCACCTTCTATATAGGAAACGGCCATGATTGCATTTTTCAGCAAAAATCATTCCAGTCTACATCAGTAAGCTTTGTGTTCACAGACTTCATGTCAAGATGAGCTTAACAGTGTCTTCAATGGAACGCCTGCAACTTCAACTTTGGAAGCAGGTGATATATCTATATATTATACACTTATATCCCCAGCTTCTTATGCAGAAAAGTGTTTGTGATTTAGTCATTTAATGTGTCTTATTATCAACAAGATATTGCCAGAAATTCATTCAGTTCGTGAATAGAAAAAAACAAAACCTGAACTTTGGTTCAATCCCAGTAATTTAACACACATCTTGTTAAATTACTGGGATTGAACCAAAGTTTAGCTTTTGTTTTTTTTATTGATTGAAATATGAAACATTTAGATGAAGTTTTTCAGTATTGGGGCATTGAAATGTGTTCTCTCTTGTTTGAAGCATCTCTAGCACCAACTCACTGGACCTCTTGTTCAGCAACAGGCTTTTTGGGCCAGTCAGCAAAGGCCAATCTAACAGCCTGGGGCCCTGCAGGACAGCCCAGTGTCACATCACCGGGGTCCCTTGGCCCCTGGGGCTCAGCAGGACAGCCCAGTGTCACATCACCGGGGTCCCTTGGCCCCTGGGGCTCATCAGGGCAGCCCAGTACCCCATCACCGGGGTCCCTTGGCCCCTATGGCTCAGCAGGACAGCCAAGTGTCACATCACCGGGGTCCCTTGGCCCCTGGGGCTCATCAGGACAGCCCAGTGTCACATCACCGGGGTCCCCTGGCCCCTGGGGCTCATCAGGGCAGCCCAGTACCCCATCACCGGGGTCCCTTGGCCCCTATGGCTCAGCAGGACGGCCCAGTGTCACATCACTGGGATCCCCTGGCTCCTGGGATCAGCAGCAGACTGTGTCTGGAAGGGGTCAGCCCAGCATGGAGCCACAAACAGGTACACAGCCGCTTGGCTTGTGGACTCAGCCAGCTGGGTCGATGGCCCGGGTGACAGCCGGCTTCTTCGCTACTGTTGGCGAAGTCTCCAGCTCTGGAGAAATGATGTTCCCACAACTCAGTGTGGCCTCAACGTCTGACCAACATGCAGCGCTGCAGAACCATCCAGCACAAGCAGGTCTGCAGCCGGTATGTCTCTGCCTGCCGCTCTTTACATCTGCAGTCAGTCAGAAACACAGGCTTTTTTATATAGATTTAAACGGTTTATTGTAATGCAGCAAATCTGGCAAAGGATCTTCTTTAAGATAAATATTGTACTGAATTAAAATTGTTCTCTTTTTACTCTCTTCATTGTTGGTTTCTAATGTCTTCAACAGCAGACCTTTGGATAAATAATACAACATGGAAGATAACAGAAAAACATTATGGTAATTATCACTGTACAGTACAGAACCACACTTTGGTGTTTGAGAACTCAGTTAGTAATAAATGGACATGAAATATTATAAAAAGTTAGAAAATAAATAACCATACTTACACTTTATACTATAACTGTTATAACTGTTGTCTTATTGTCTAAATGTACAAAACTGCAAATAATGACATACAGCCATTAATTTGTCCCATTGTTCTCCACAGACTCCTTACGGAATGCAGTAGAGGAATGACGTGATGGGGGGGGGTGCCTTCAGAGTTATTTTTAATACAAATATTGGTTTCTGATTTTATTTACTTATTAACAGTGCTGCATGGAGCATGCACACGCTGGCAGGTCACGTGTATCACCTCCTGCAGCTCAGAGCGCCAGCCTTGCCCCCCACCCCTTCCCGGGGGAACTCCATACCCCTGTGATTCAAGCCAGGATCAGCAATTACAACATGGGTTCATTATGGGATTTTTTTTTTTTTAATACGCGGTTAAGGTGACGTTCATTTTAAAACAGCATTACATCAATGGTTACTTTCTGTGGAATTAAACAGAATTAAACTGTATGATAAATATTTCATAAATAGAGAGATAATCAACTGGGAAAATGATGGTTTGATGGATACGATTTATAGGTTATATTTGGTGTTCAAATTCTGAAAATGTCATTATAATCCTCACCAGGAGATTTGGTGGAAAAATGATGATAAAATATTTAAGACAGATCGTGCATTTGTTTAATTGTCAATAATAAGTTTGTATTTATTAGATTACATGGATGAGAGTGACAGAGTGATCAGCGATCAGTGCTTTTATCAAACACTGGCGACGTGATCGGCGTTGTGCCGGCCAGATGGGCTGCCGTTCTTTCCTTCAAACAAGAAGGTTTACTGTCTGACACCCCTACATTGGTGAAGCTGGCATCCAACACCACACTCAGAACTCTATACATTTTACATGAAACAAGACAAAAATCTCCTTTCCCATTTCTAAGATACAGACCCTTACAGGCTCCAGACTAATTTCTTGCACTGGTTGCGCTGGTGCGCCTACAGTAACTTTTTCATGTAGGTGCATCCAAACTTTTCACGTCTTTAGCGCCGCAATGATAGCTTACCTTTTTGTCACTTTCCAGACACAGTGGTCGTGATGTGAATGACTGTACACAGGAATAAAGGAACACGGAGATGGTTGTCTTTATTTGAATCACAGCACAAACTAAAAATTGCAAAAAACGTCATTATTATAAAACAATAATAAAAAAAAATCAATTAAAGTGCTTAACAAGCTGGAAATTTCAAAAACGTGTGTTCGGGTCCCAAGTACGTATAGAAAATGCTTCGGTAAGCCGCTGCCTGACGCCTTTACTGCGGGGGGGGGGCACTGCTGCGGTCACACACGTATCACGACACAGGACGTGTCTCTCATACCACTGTTTCTGAAACTACATTTACGAATGTTTTAAAGGTGTTTATTTAAAAATCACTTACGTATAGCTTGATAGTATAACCGGCATGCTTCATTAGATTATTAATGTAGGCCTATATCTTATTAGATTATGAATGTATATTTAACAAGCAATAATAAAAGTGTGTTTTTATTATTTTAAAATCGCAAAATAAACAGCAATATAAATAGGCTACGCAATAATGTAGCTATACAAAATGTATTCAGTCCAAATAAATATAAATGAATAGCTACGCTCATTACAGTGAGCTGTATAACCATCAACGCATCGATTACAGTGTTTAGTGTTATCGGTCCGTTAGTCATACAGTGCCTTCATTCCGATAAATCTCATTGTTTCTGATAACAATTCGTGAGAAAAATTTTCAAATAAACAGCGGTTATTTAAATATTATGCTTATATTTATAATTTTGGGAAGAATGTGAAAATATGCCCAACTTACGCTGTAACCTCCACAGCGAAAGAAGATGTGAAAGTGTGTGCAGAACAGAAAAATGTTACAGAATAGAGCGTTTTTAAAAGAAAAGCTTCCCATTATAGTCTTCGCGTTACTGAATTGTTCACTGTTGAAGTGTTTTAAATATTGCAGAAAAGTTAGGAGACGGCCGGTGGGCACGGCGCCGGCTGCATTTCCTGACGCGCCTCTCGGCCGGTTGCGCGCAGGTTACAGCCTACAGTACCGAGGTAATGTGCTTTACGAGAAAAGCGGAACCACTACGTGCGGGGCAGCACCTGAACTTCCGAAAAACACACTCCTACGTGGGATCTTAACGTGTCAAGCTTGCGTTTTTGGACCGTAAACGACGCTCTTAAATATGGTAAGATACAGCACAATTGTCGGCGGTGTAATTGCAGCATTATCTTATCGCTTTATGTAATTCTGGGTTGTTTCAAAATAAAGGATGATGCGTCGACGCGTACTGTTGCTGATTGTTTATCAGTAGATAATGTAAAGTAATGGATTTCTCTAGTAATGTAATTCGGAACGGCTTGATTCCTTTTCCGTTTCGTTATTAAACAATTAATTATGTTTAATGAGCAAGGTGCCCCCGGGGAGTAATTTTCTGGAATTTCATAGTAATTGCACCTGTGATTAAAATTGCTCTTGAGAGACCATTTACCTAAGCACGATGTAGGATTGTCAAAATGTAGTTTTCGAACAAGAAACTACAATAGTCTGGTACGATCTAGGATACGGATTCCTGGCGCTGGTTATAGATGGAGCTTATGGTGTTTTTTTTTGTAATACTGTTTTGCTCCTTTTACAGTCATACGCTGTTGAATCACAACCATAACTACATAAGTCATAATTTCGCACTTTAAGGGTGTTTAATGAACATGAACAATGAAGTGTTTAATGAACATTTATACATTTTACATTCTCCTGTATATTTATATTAAGAAAGTTTTATCTAAAAATTATTTTCTCGGACAGAAAGTTACTGTCATTCACTTAAGGTATTTTTTGTTGTTGACTTTCAATTGACTTTAAATTGTAAACAGTATAGATGGATTAGCTGTACTTAAATAAACCAGCTTTAGAAACAGCTGCAGTAGCGAACAGAGATTAAGGAAGCAGCACCAAACCAAAATCATTTTTGATTGTGGTTTCTACTTAAATGTGAGCATTATTACGACAGATTGCACAATTTATAAAGGATGCAGTAAATGATTCCTTTCTGTTGTTTGTTGTTAAAAAAATATCAGGATATGAAAATATAATTTAAGCGTGTACTTGCTTTCACATAAAATATGTTTATGATTAGATATTTGATGTACTTGCCTGTCCTGTAATGGGAGGCATATTTCAGGAGACCTTCCAAAATAGCTTTCAGGTGCTAGAAACCGTAGTGCTCTGAGGTTAGGGTCTGGGTTATTCAGGTACAGGTGGAGCAGACAGGCCGGGTGGGACTGAAATGCAGAAGGCATGATCGGTGGGCACCAGTGTGGCCACACAGCCTGCCAAGGAAACCCAAGGCAGGAAACACCCTGGCGACACCGAAATTATGTTTTATTTGCCATTTGTGCAAGTACACAGGGATCCTTTCATTTCTGCATAACCTGTCCTGCTCTCTTTTGAGACATACCCCTATACTGTGTTGGTGAGGACCGCGCTTGGGGTTATTCATCGGGAGACCCTGGAGCACTTTTCAAAGAGCCGGGGGGCATAATTCGGTGTAAATTATGATGAAAATGGGATGAACTGCAATGGAAAGATGTTAAGAGTAAATGAGAAGAAGGCTGGGTTTGACTAGTTGCCTCAAGCACTTCAAAAACGCTTGAGTTGAAGTGTAGAGCAGCATCACCCCGGATCAGATCGTTTTGGGCCTAGAGCACGCAGTCATGATGTGGTAACATGTCTCCTTTGCTAATCATAGCACTCGTGGTGTATAATGCTGATTCAGTCAGCTGAATGTACACTACAGTACATGTACAGTGAGTTCAAGGTGTGGTGAATGGGAAAAGGTTCATATATCGCACAATGAATAGACATGTTCTTACATTATGTTTGTTCGTTAATTTGTTTCGAGGAGTAATAAATAGGCTGCCCTATTCTCGTTTATTTCTTTGTGGGTTATCCGGCATTCTCTCAATTCCATTTATATTACAGGTCATTTCTTTAATAAATTACATTTTTGCTGATTTGGTTGAGAATATCTGGTAACGCCTTTCATATAAAAACAATACTCGTTTACCTCAGGTATTTAATTGAAAGTACAATGTTCCTGTTAATCATTTCAAATGCGGCAGTATAGAATATGTTTTCGGGACAAAACCATTTTGTGTAAGGCTGTGCACGATGCAGTAATCTGTAAGGCAACACAGAGAAAAACTGCCTATTTCCTGTGTCTTTGAACAATTCAGAGTAGCGAATGCATGCTTCTGATAGGTTAACTACTGTCTCTATGGCTACCATTGTTGGAGTTCCTAAGTGTACCCATTTCTCTGTGTGGTTGCTGGCGTTTCCTGCCTATGTACATTGTTCGGAGTTTACATTTAACCAATTATTAACTCAGGTGTTGATTTTCATACATTCCTCACTGTTATGAATAGTTTCAGTAAAGTTCGTATTACTTAATTTCAGCAGTTAGCGAAGCGTCGTTGCCCTCTTTACAGCTGCGGCTGTGACCTCATTTTTACAGGAACCAAACTGTTTCCCCATTTCTCTCCACAGATTATCGTCAGCTGGTGTAACTGGTGTAACAAAAATGTGGTTCTGCAATCTTCCTGCTGTATTTCACACTTTTTGAGGCATTCCTAACACTCTCTTAATTTCAGAGCTGCGCAACAGTGTCAGTCTAATTTAATCCAGAAAATCTGAAAAACCATCCATGTTGTATCTGCTAACTGGTCGGTGTTGTGAGAAACTGAAAAATTGAAGAAAAATCATGTATCACATATTTGCTTAATGAATTTTAGGTGTTGAGAGATCTCATTGAACCAGAATGGAAATGTAAAAAGCAGATATTGACAAATAAAATCAATGAAGACCCATGATTGAAATGGACCTCAGTATGAGACAGATAAAGTTGCTTTCTAGCGAAACTGTCCCATTGATTGACTGGGTGTAGATATGCAATATATGAGAAATGACTTCCAAAATGTCATCAGTCATTTATATTTTACCATGGATGTTCAGCTAATATGATTTTTCTTTTTGGATCTGGTGTCAGTTTTTATGCACAGTGTCAGAAGGATTTGGGGCTTTTTGGTCACTTTATTTGTGTGGGATGAGTTTCACTTTGTGTTTGCATGCTGCTGCTCTTGCCGAGTGCTTTGCAGAGGGATGGGGCCCAACAGCCTGCCTCTCTGTCTTCCGCTCTGCAGAGGGACGGGGCCCGACAGGCTGCCTCTCTGTCCTCCGCTCTGCAGAGGGACGGGGCCCGACAGGCTGCCTCTCTGTCCTCCGCTCTGCAGAGGGACGGGGCCCGACAGGCTGCCTCTCAG